GCTATTGATATTTTAATAAAAAACACACATAATTAGTTTCCCTGTAGCAGCTAACCTAGGTTAAACATAAATGTTAATTTAATAGATTAGTTAAAAATCAATCCAGGCAAATGGAAATTCGCTTAGTTGGCAGGTTTTCTGCAGCGGGGGAATTATCTTTAAGGCTGATAGAAATTGATACCAGGGCCGCTTCAATAAATGAGTCCAGGGGCGCAAGAGGTTTTAGGATTTTTATGGGGCGTAAGGAAAAGAAAAATTTTCCCACAAGGTAGGTGGAGAGGGGCACGATAATCTTTCGTATGTATACCACATCGCATACAAACCACGAGCGTGATTGATACACTATTTATTTAAGACTTGTTGAATTGGTTTAAATACATAACTTTCAACCACTAATAAATATTTCCTTGCAGGTACACAATCATTTTTTAAATTTCCACCAAACATTAGATGTTGAATAATCGCCGTTTCCCATCACGACCCACATGACACCCAGCGATATGTTTAATTTACTAATTGGTTGTCATGAGGGTAGCGAGTAGCAACCCTCTCAACATCATCAGGTATCAAACTTACACATCAATGCAGGGGTCGGTTCAGAACAACCCACCCTAGCCATTGACAATGGCATTAACTATGAAACAGACAAACACTGACTTATTCACACACCCTTCAATAGTAGTGCTGCAACAACATTACTCTTGCTAGTAAAAGTGCAGTATTGAGTTGCAGGCTACAAACTATCCGCAGGACTATCCTAATACATAATTAGACCAATTCCTAAATTACAAGGCAAATATGTGGTTCGAATTTCACTATAAACTTTATGTCCATTCGTTGTACAGGCTATTAATTAACTCCTGTCTAAGGAACATGTTGGCCGTAGTCAGCAACAAGATCGCGCCACTCGTTCTACATTCATCCCCATTCAAACTTGGCTTAAAATACCTACTTTGACCTTCAAATTGTAGAAAAAGGAGGATAGCAGCTAGCTTACCTTGAAAGTGTGGGTAGGCCATAGAACAAGTAGAAAAACACTATGCACACAATATTTCAAGTGTAGAGAGAGTTTGACAATGTCCCTTAGGGGACGAAATATTGTGTGCATAGTGTTTTTCTACTTGTTCTATGGCCTACTCACACTTTCAAGGTAAGCTAGCTGCTATCCTCCTTTTTCTACAATTTAAAATCCTGGCCAAGAGCCTTTCTTTAAACAAAACTACTTTGACCTTCGTAAGGTCGCCATTTCAATTAGTATGAAGTATTAAATAATGAAAATTAATGTATCAATGTATGTTTTCAATATATATGTGTTTTCAAAAAAGGTAGAGATATAATCTACATAGTGATTCCTTGGGTCAAAGTAAAGAGCAAATCACTAATATGACTTTTTACCAAAATCGCTTTGCTAACCAGATATCCGCCAATTTGTATTTTTTACATAAACCTTCTTTGGATTGTTTTAACCAAACATTATGAAACTTGATGCCAGGAAAAAATTTTCTTGGTCCAATTAAAAATGTCTATATAATGGCCATTTTAATTATAAAATGTAAATTACTTACAATGGCTCTTTTTATGACAGAATTTTAGGAACACAGGAACACTTTTGTTTTGTTTTTAAAATATTTAGAAAATCTAATAAAAAGTGGCTGAATAATTTTGCAACTCATTATGCACCGTACATTTATTTGAATGAGTTCTCAAACCAGCATAATCGAATTTAAGAACAGGGTTTTACAGGGGTTTTATGAGGTAAACACAGAGTTTTCTTATTTTTAACCCTCAAAACATAAAGTTTTGCAATTTCTTTTAATAAACCATGTTATAGATCTTAGAAAAACAAATAATATATTACACTGCAGCATTATTTTTCATGGTTATGAGAAATGAGAAAAAAAACTGCAAATTAAAAATTTCCATCTTTTGTAAGTTAACTGTTGAAATTTCTTTTATGGAGATATTTTTTCATAAAATTTTGATAAGATATTGATTTCATACTATGTTATTAGCATTTTAATAAAACACACTTCATTAAAATGTTCCCTGTAGCAGGAATTTTAAGTATTAATAATTACACTTGAGTAGGGAATAAATGTGTTATTTTAAAGGACATTTTTTATTGAAAATCCAATCAGGAAAATGGAAAATCGCTTAGTCTGCAGGTTTCCTGTAACAGGGGTGTTTTGTATATGAACTTATTAGTGTTACATAAGAAGTAGGAGTCATTTTTCGAAATTTTCCAATTTTGATTAGCCATTTTTAGTCGTTACATATTTTACAAAAATAGAATATGCTGATAACAGCTTAAATTCAGACATCAACTATTATGAAACAATGAAATGCTTAACTGTAGTATAAAATTAAAAATGTGAACTAAAACACTCACTAAATAATGTTCATCATGTAAGAAACACTTGAAAAGTTCCAAATTGTTTCTTATATTGGTTTGTATTCCACTAAAATAAAATGCCACTTGGTTTTTAAACAAAAACGTCATATTTTACATATTATTTAGGCTAAAACCACAACTACGATTAACTAATTAATTTCCACAATTCGTCCTCGTCAATTGATTATTTATTGCTTCACAATCCTAGTTTCGGGCTTTACTGCTTAACTTTTTCATCAGATTGTCAAATTTTTGAACACAAGTTGTTGGCAATGATTTTTAAAATACTAAAATCATTGAACATTGTTGACAATGGATCAAGGAGCAGTAATTTTATTACAGACATAGGTAAATAAATCGAGTGTATATGAACTTCGCCTCGTGATCAGTAGAATGTGAGGATCAACTTGCAATCCTCCAGAAGGCCGATATAAACTGCGCTTGGTTTAAACTAAACTAGAGGTAAATATTGATTTTTAAGTATTATTTCAATATTGTAGATTGAGATCTTATGGTGAAATTTTATAAAAACTCGTCTTTACTTTAGAGCACAGTTCTTATACAATACAGAACTCGTAGGGCCATTGCATACTAGGCCACCACGGAAGCGCAATTGGTGTTGGGTGGCGAGTAACATTAAATGGGGAGCCACTTCATCAGCTACCACACTTGCAGCTTGGTTCATTTTCTATTCATCATGGTACATAAGGAAGAAGCTTATGGGTTTGCTTTTAAGTTTCTTTAAACGGAATAAGAGGGAAAAAACTGCATACATCCGTTTTAACACAATCCAAGTTCAAGGGGAGTGGAGTGTTTTTTACTCATTATGTCAACCTCATAAACAATCTGGACAAGTTTTACAAAATATCCTGGAATGACTATTTGTGTCCGAGTACACTTCACTACTCACGACCCAAAATGTTCCACGCCAAGCATTGCCATGATCACAAATTAAACTGGAGAAAAACAAAACTACTGTTGTCGTCACAGAGTAGCGCTAATGTGCAGTACTCTATAAGAAAAAACAATGTTTTTCGGCTGGTGGCAGGCAAAGTCGGTGGCTCTAGAACCTTCCAGGAGCCCAACCAAACAACCTAAGTGGCCTAGTATGCTGTTGTAAAAATCAATGACTTCTATAGTGGCCTCTCCCTCCGTCTGTGACGGTGTTTTCATGGAGAGCTAGAAGCAACGGACAAGTGTGGTTGGTAGGGCTTCAGTCTGCTTTACGTATGGAGACAAGGGTCAGGGTACAGTGTGCTGCTGTGGAGGTAGCTAGGGGTAAATGTGTGATTGTAATACGCCATGTAGGGCGTGAGGATTTTTTCCTCCAGAGCACTCACTAAGTGGAAGACTCCCTTAAGACAATTTTCTATACACAAATTTACATTTGTGATTCTGGGTTTCAGCACAATCTTCCTACGAGATTAGGTCTGGAGAACCTCTTCATCACTCTACATCTAGCAAAATTAGAGTTACTGAGTCACGCTACAAACTCCCAAGTAAACCTTTATGGATGAGTTTTCTTGCAGAGAACCTTTATGTTCCTCCTCATCCAGCAGAAATTTTCAAGTAAAATTAGTTACTGAGTCGAGCTTCCAAGCCCCATGTCACTCTTTAGGATGTGTTTTATTGCAGAGAACCTCTTTGTCCCTCGTCTTCAAGCAAAAATATTCAGCTAGATGACTGAATCAAGCTACCCTCCATGTCACCCTGGAGGGAGACATGTCACCTCTCAAAATCAACTCAAAATGTCCATTAGGATCAACTCACTACAAGGGCATCATGTTCGGACAGTGAGTTGAAATTATCAATATCTTCAAATAGCAAAAGAAAAGATGTAATTGTTTCACCTAGTTAAAATTGGCATTTTCATTTGGATACAGCCCATCTTTTCAAAAGACTTTAAAGGTTAATCCAATTGTTTTCGCTTGAAATGTTTGGTTAGGTATTACATGTTGGGGGTTTATGTACCCAACATTTCTTCTAGCTAAGGAGTATGTTAACATGGACTAATTGTTAACTGACTGGATAGCTGAGTGGTTAAAGTGCTCACTTAAGAATCAAAAGGTCGCCGGTTCAATCCTAAGAAAAGAATGTAGCTTTTTGATCGTTTGAGCCTGGACCCAGCTGTTCCTGATTGGACTTTAAATAAATGACCCTGACTGATATAACAGCTGATCTTTATCAGTACTACACTCATCCTTCCCTCATATTTGGGTTAAAATACACACCTAGGTGGTGTCCCATCTCAATTATTTCATAAATAATAATTGATAATATAAAAGATATTTTTTAACAATAAGGATGGATAAGAGACCTTATTTGAAAGTTCAATTGTGTCATAGATCTGGGACGAACCGGAATCACATAACCAATTTCAGTAAACAACAATGTTCAGATTATTCTAATTGATTTTTAGCTATCCAGACATTACTCTGAAGCTTCACAGGGATAGTGTCAGAATGACATCAACTAGTTAGGGCGACTGGTGTATGAAACTCGAGCGTCAAAAATTATATATAGCACAATGTAAAAATAAACATTAAAAGCCACACAACCAAATATAAAACTACACACTTTATGTCAACTTGATAATTTCCACACTAACCTGGATTATCCCTTAATTGTGCGAAGACAGCGTCAGTTGCTTGTTGTTCCGAGACAAAATCCCACAGTCCATCGCAGCCCAGGATCAAGAAGTCTTCAGAGCCGTCCAGAGTTATTTCCTCAATGTCAGGTTCAGCAGTAACATATGGTTTGTACTCTACATCCCCTGAAACAGTAAAAAAAGAATGTAACTCACTAAAAAGATCTAGTATAGAATCAGATCCAGCGATCTCAGACCACAGTCCAGATGTTGATGTGATTCAATAAATCTGGGTTGCTGAATTATGTAGTGATTGTCTGGTCATTTACAAGTCAAAGTCATGAGTTCAATCCTGTGAAAAGTCAAAAGTGTTTTGACAGTTTGAAACTAAATTAAGCTGTCATCCATTATTGTGTTTTTTAAAAATAACCCTAGCAGTAGAAAATCGTTTTTTCTACCACTGCATGCAAATTATCATATAGCCACACCTGTATAAACAGTACGCAAAATAGCTCCGATTTATTCATTCCCGCTTGCTAAATCAGCTGATTTCACTATTGGCTTTTCTATAAAACACTAACATCCGAAGAGTGAATAACATATCCTAAAAACTTAATCTGTGTGTAATAATGAGTTAATTATATGGTGGTAGGAAAATTCTTGTGTGTATTACGAGCCCAAAAGACAAACCACATTTTTACTGGTGTGATGAATTACGATGTGTGATGGTTGCCGTCAGCATCAGTACGAAAAACCTCTTGTTTTAGACAATTATCGTAACATACTTGTTGTTGATAAGTTAATGTTCTAAACCCCAAGGCTTAGGTCACATGTCTTGACCTGAAGTGTTCGCAGGATACTATCCAACAGAGATGATAAGGATTGATTATAGGGGATAAATTTTAGCAGGAGCCATACCCTACATGCCTAACACTGTGCGAAAACACATCTATCCTTACTTTCCTCTAAAAAAAAGTAAAGCTTTTCCCAATGAGAACATTTACTAAAACAAGCATGTTCAATAAACAATCAAACAACTGGGGAAGTAGAATGAATTATGGAAGACAATGTCCCATTCACAGACAGCCAGACGATCGCTTGAGGCAGTTACCATTGTAATTGTGACCACAGTCAATGATTCGTGGAGAAGTCAGTTTCACTTCTCCTCTTTGTATGCAAATGCAATCTGAGGTTAAGACACTAAAGATGCACATGGATGCATTTAGTTTAAATATGATTCAAATATAGAAATGCAGGGTGTTTCCAAATTATCTGGACATATTTTGTGGACTTGTTCCTTCCAAGACAAACATAAAATGCCTTATAAGTATGGGTTTAAAATGTTTACATTTCTGTCTGTCAGTCTTTTTGTCTGTTTTTTAAATTATTTTATATCTTAGGATTTTTTTAAGTTAGCAATTTTAAAATGTAGGCATAAATATATAGTTTAGAAGGTAAAAAAGAGCTTACAAGGTTTTAATATCTAAGGCCGTTTCAATAGGCCATTGAAAATCTTAAATGCCAAATTTCATGAAAACCGTAGAAACAGTAGAACCTTGATAACAAGACTCTCATGGGGATTATTAAATGAGACCTGTTATCAAGGTTGACTCCTTATTAAGGTTTACTATAACATGTGATTTTGGGTAAAATAAATTCAAGGGGATTTGAAAATGACACTTGTTATCATGGGTGACTTGTTATCGAGGGTCTTCTTGTGGAGGTTTTACTGAGAAAATTGATTTATAATTAAAAATAAAGAGAATTCAAATCCAAATCAAATGAGACCTTGTTTGTTAACATCAGATAACAAACAACCGAATTATCAGTTTTTTCTACATTCCAAATAATAAACCTATCTTAAGAGCAGTATGGTACTCCTGGGAAAAAATTGAAAACTCAGTTGTTTGTGAGACAATTTTTACAAACAAGGTATTATTTGATTTGTATTTAAATTCTCTATCTTTTTGATCGTAAAAACAATTTTCTTAATGTTTACGGTTTTCATAAAATTTGGCATTAAAGACTTTAAATGGCCGCCACATTGAAACAGCTTGAGATATTGGAACAAAATTTTGCAAGCACTTTTTACCTCCTAAACTACACATTTATACCAATTTTTAAATCTCTATTTTGAAAAATGTACAAGATATAAAATGGTTTTAAAAAATCATAAACAAACCAACAGACAGAAATCTAGCCTTTTTAGACCCATACTTATATGGCATTTTATGTCTCTCTGAGCTCAAGGAACAAGTCCACAAAATATGTCCAGACAATTTGGAAACACCCTGTATACATTAAAAACCACATCTAATAAGGAATGTTAATTAGTTCTGTAAAACCATTTAAAAAGTAATAATCTACCCATAATTGAGTACAAAAAACTTAAGAAAAGTGAAGAGTGTGTAAGTTACTAGTAGTAATGTTTAAAACAAGGGGAAATCAGATCACCAGATAGAAATTGTTGCGGTTTTTAGGGGTGCCTTCAACTGCCCTCATACACATTTACTGATAGGTCTTGCAATTGCCGCCTCTCCACTGAAGGAGCAAGATACATTCAATCTGTAGCCAAGGGAGCTACACGTGCAGACCATCAGTAGCCCTTAGGTTTGTGCACGAGTACTAATAAGCCCAGCTGATGGATAAGGAAAACTGAGCATTGATGTTAAGAAGACAACCTGACTGATTGTGGATATCCACGACACCCTCTTCAAGCATATTTTTAATTAGCTATTTTGTTTTTTTAACCAAAATACACCCTTGTCTAAGTCTGTAAGTTCATTGTGTCCTCCAATGTTCCAGTCTTTAATCCAGTCTCTATATTTGACCCACAGAGAAGTAAGGTACAGACAATGGGCTATACAGTAAGCTATAGACTAGTTAACGACTAGTATACTATTAAGAAAATTGACAGGAAAGCAGGCTTACCTTTAAATAAGTCCATAGAGACACATAAAATACATCACTAAAGTAGAAATTTTCGTGGTCACTTTTTCACCTGGAGAAAATCAACTTTTTGACTTTTGTTATGTGTCTCTATGGACTTATTTAAAGCTAAGCCTGCTTCCCTTTTGATTTCCTTAATAATACCTTAATAATATTAGGGATGGACGAGATTGGATTTTTAGTTCAAAACAAGACAGGATTTTTTATTTCTTAAAAAATTTCAAGATTTTCAATTTTTTTATCTCGTCTCGAAAAAATCTTGAACAAAATAGAATCTCGTCTCGTAAAACGAGATTTAAAATTTCCCGAAATTTCGAACCCGTCCATCCCAGCTTTTTATCAGATAACGACTAGTATAGACTCTTAACTCATTAGGCGCTGGTGTCTAGGGCAAAGTCCAACCCTTTCCCTCTTATGTACTACAACGCTCGGGGGTCTAAGACCATGTGCCATGTGCAATAGGAATTTCCACACAGTGCTCACCGCTTGGGCTCTACCTTGCTCGACAAAAATATATTTCCGAACTGAAAGTGCATTGTCTTCCCATAAACAAGTCTCCTATGTACCTTCCTTCTCTGTGAGAAGTAAAACTATATGCTAATAATAATTTAAAATAGCAATGAGAAACCCTGAAGGAAGAAGACTAAGAGGAAGGCCATGAGCGACAGAGGAAGATGCAGAAGATAGAGATGGTGGTGCCAAATATCTCCTGGGATATGCGTGGTCCTGAGAGTAAGAGTAAGACAATATAAACAGTTACCCATATCTCCAATACTTATCTTTCTAATAAAATATTGGTTCCACACAAGATCATTGACACTACGCCAGCCTCCCTCCATTGCTAACATTGATCCTTTTAAAAGCCAATTGTATTGTTAACTTTGATCCAAGAAGGATATTTTACAGGACATCTATAATAATTGATAATTTTCAATTGAAAGCAAACTAAATTTGTATAGTATTATAAACTAACCAACACAAGTAGACTTCTCATCCCATTGTACATTTTGAAGCTTGTTTTTCGTGTCTAGTTCATGTTGGTGACACTGATCGCTAGTGTTGACAAAATTTTGTTTCTCTTATTTTAAGTTTAAATTCATTATTTGTGCTTTACTGTTTGGCTATAAAACTAGGAGACGAGTTATTGTTTATGATTAGATTGTTTTATTTGGTTAAAGGAGGTTTTAAATGTCTGAAATAACAAGAAACAAATTGTAAACAAAACACGATCTCTACAGTGCACCGAACTAACAATAAAATTGTCTTCAGCTGATCCATAAGGATGAGAAATCTACTAAGAGTTTTTATATGTTTTATCTATGATAGTATGTATAGTTTTGTACCTATAGCTCTGGATACTGCTAGCTGGCCGTTGACTCTCCAGGTGCCCCAATACAATACTGTTCCTCCCATGCCTTCTATCCTGTCTTTTTCATCCTGAAACATACAGAACCATTGTAATGGGAACTGAAATTAGTAAGTATTACAATATTTTTCAGTATAGTAACAAAATCATTGCTGATACTTTGATTCAAGATTAGTTTCCAATGTTCCCATCATAGAGAAATTCTAAATGAGCTGTCACGTGATAGGTAGTTGGGAGTCTTAGTAGTCAACCAACTAATGATATAACTAGGTTATCAGTTAAACCTTGACTAAAAGCCTGCAAGCCCAGTTAAATCTTGACTAAAAGCCTGCAAGCTTTTTGATCGTTTTCCACTGAACGCAGCAGTATTTGATAAAAGCTTTTTATTTATGATCTTGGCTGAATGACCAGCTGGTCTATCAGAAGAAATTGCACATGTTTGCGCCCCATTTTTATTCATCTGTGGCCCCAGTTACCTTTAAATAAACTTCATCTGTAAAGTAATTTTATTTTAATGATAGGTCAACCCGGCCAATTTAACAGTGACAAGCGTCGAGATCCCATCAGCTGGTGGGGGAGAGGGGAGTCAAAAGAGTAACAGCCTCACCAAAACCTTGATCCATCTAGCCGGATAGTAGCATCTAGTTAGGACCCTTTAACAGAGTCAGGGCAAGTCCTAAATGGCAGCGAAGACAAAGAAGAGGGACTTTATAACGGCAGAGCTGGCAAACGAAGCAGACATTGCAAAGGACTTGTGGCAAAGAATAATATTCAAATACCCCTGCAGTCTTATTAAGAGATAAGACACCTAAAGAAAATCAGGACATCCGCAAGGAGACAACCTAAGAGGAGTTGCATGCTGCAGGAGATGATGAGTACAAAACGGAGCATCAGGCTACCTCCCGTCATAACTATTCCCGACTATTCATTCGGGGCTATCCTGGTACTTGCGGGATTTAAATGGATAACCAAACTGAAGATTTTTTAAGGTTTTCCCTAGATCATATTTTGACAATTCCAGGTGGCAAAGGCGACCAGGATGCATATCCATTAACCAGTTTCACTTAAGTTCATGTAATTATCTACAGCTCAGGGGCTTAACAATGAATTTAAACTAACGTTTTCATGGACCTCAGCGAAGAAGAAAAGTTGTTGGCTGAGACAAGTGAAAAGGCCGTTTAGGACTACAACCTAAAGATCTATGACTTCCTGGAGGGAAAAAAGGCAAAAGTACGGAAGATAGAAGAGGGCATTTGGAAACATCAGACTAGAACAAATCCAATAATCTTACTCCTTGCAAAAGTGAAAAAAGGGGTCTTGAAGTCCAAAGTGTCAATATTTGCGAGGAAAAACATAAAAGATTGCCAAGAGGATCCTCTCGCACTGTGTCTTCGTCTGCTGTGGTGACTCCTCAAGTGAAGCGACAGAACGACAAGACAACTTCTACCTCTACCTCTACCACTTCAACAGCCCAAGTAGAGGAAAGGATGCATGAAGATGAGAACAAGCCCACTTTCAAGTACCGGTTCTCTGGGTATAAGATAGCTGTTATTCCTGAAGCAATTCAGCAAGGTTCATAGAGGAACAGATGATCAATGAGCTCTATATTCATAGAAGAAGGGTAAATGCCTCAGATTCAGAAAGCATATCTAGAAAGATGAGCTCTGGTTTTTCCTGCTGCAACAAAGCTACGGTTAACTGGCTGAAGACAATCAGTTAAGAAGACACAAGCCCTGGCTTGGAAATGATAAAGGAATTGGCAGTCGAAGTAGATGATTACAAGGACCTCCTGAGGGATACAAAGCGGTTAACAAAGAGAGACGTTGAAGACCTGTTCAAAATCATCAAAACCCTCTTCTAGAGGATTTGAAAAGATTTTGTTAAACCAAGGAATTAATTACAGTGAGGTACATTTTAGAACTTTTTAAAGTTTTGCAGCTACCAAAGTATTACTATATACTCACAGGTCTGTCAGGTTTGTGTGGTCGCACTATCTCCAGAGGTCGACCATTCCTCACCAACACTGCCTGAGAGTCGCCCAGCCAAGCGACGTACAGCTTGCCTTCCTTGTGTCTCAGCAGAGCAACCACAGCTGTTGTACCTCCGTGGAGATTCTACACCAAAACATGATCAACATTACACACAGTTTGAGTTTGAAGGAGACTGATGAAATTTAGTAGAGCTTTGAATACTTTACTTGTTTTACTTTAATACTTTTCAATGAAATGGCGACCATACAAAGTAGGTATTTTAAGCCAAGTATGAATGGGGATGAGTGTAGGATGAGTGACACAATCTTGTAGTCTTGTTAGTAACTAAGGCCGACATATTCCTTAAACACAGCTGTTAATTAATAGCCCATAGGTACAGCTAATGGCAACCTAACCTACAGTTTATCCAGTTCAGTGGAATCCGAACCACATTTTTGCCATGGTATATACAAATTGGTCTAATTATCAGGATAGTACTGCGGATAGTCGTGGTACTCACTAGTGCGGACGTTAATCCACACCTGGGAGCATCACATCTACAGTACATGCCTATAACTATCCACAATTCGTGACCTCCTAGTAGCTGGATTACAGGACGACGCCACCCGTCCAAGTTAAATCTTAAAAACCCTACAATAGCCACCGAATTAAATTGTTATTAATGAAAACTTATGTAAATGTGACAAAGAGAACTTGCAACGATAAATTCAATTTGACAATGAACACAGGCAATTTTTCAGCAATGCAGCACAAATAAAATATTATGGATTTTTATTCTCACTCTAACCTATAAAAAATATATTGGGTGTTTCACTAACTAACCTGAATTAGTCCTACGCCTAGTGTGACACATTTATATAACACATACCTCTCTCTCAGCCTTGATGGTGAACATGTTGTCGGTTCTGCAGCAAGCGTCGTGCAGTGCTTTGACAGGATTGGCCGGATAGTGTGGACTCTCTGCTAGGTACTGATGTAGATGTGAAACACTGTATATGGCTGCGTCTACACCGTTGTGGCCATCCAACACCCCATAGTAGCTGGCAGGACCCCAACCCTACAAACATGGAGACAAATACTGTCAAAATCAAACAAGGTTTCAACGTGCAAGGTTGGATTTTGATAGCAAATAATACCAAAACGATACACAGCTTATATACTAAACCAACAGAGAAATGAACAAATAACTAGTTAACCATACGGTAGAGTCTTGATCGCGAACAAACAAAAAAGGAAAAATAAGTGATCATCCAAAGGTTCATAGGCAAGTGAAAGCGTTATGATGGTAAAAAGGTACGAGGGATAAGGATTTTAACAAACTGAATGATACAGAAATACTCAAATTACTGGGGTGTTTACATAGAATGAAATTTTCTACGAAATCAAAGATCTATGTCAGGTAGCTTACAAATCCGCCCAAAATTTAAACATCGTTCTGATTATTTCTGTAGATATTTTTTTAGTTCAAACCATAGTTTTAGCCCATTTTTTGGATCGTCACACAGATACAAGTATGCATTGATGTATGAGAATACAGTTTTACTGGGTGATTCCTCTGAGAAAAGTAAATTCAAAGACACCGATGCTTTGAAAGAGAAAATGTTTGCAATAAACGGATTCCTTGAGGTTATTGTTTCCAACTGTTTGGTCAAATTTTAAATTAGAGATAGTCTAAGTTGTGTTTTTAGCCTGGAGATCAAACACATTAACACATCTGCAGCCAAGCTTATATTGTAAACCAATCAGAAAGGGACTATTGCAATTTTGTCCTGTAAAGCTCTAATTTTGTTTTATTTAACGATTCTTGTCAACAGGTGAAAATGATTTTTTTACTATTTTTGTTTGGACTACACAACCTCTGTTAAAGCTGGTTTGGGTTGGATAGTGAAAAATTTTGACATTTATTTTCTACCAAAGTTTCACAACATGTCTAAAATCTTTAATGGTTTTGCTCAACTTTAAGCGACATCCACTCACCTTGATATTGAAAAGTGTGTGGAAGTCGTGTATGACTACATGCCTATCCTCCATCGACCTCCGAGAGTTCTTGATGGCGCAGGAGGTGACTGGTAGGAGAGGGTGAGGTGGGGGGAGAGTGGACAATTCTGCGTTGTCTCTGTAGCGAGCACACACCTCTACCAGTTTGGTGATACATATTTGCATCAGTTTCAGTGACAGATAGTCTGCAAACAAATAAACAGATGTAGTTTATGTTCAAGTTTAAAATGTACAAGTACAGTTAAATCCCGTAAACTTCGCACCTGATAACCCGTAAGGTTAGCGGCCGAATTGGAAAATTGCAGCCATTCATGAACAAATTGAACTAATTTTTTCTTATTTCATAAAAAAACTAGGTGAAGTCCTACATAAAGTCTTCTCAAAATCAAGTTTCTAAGGTACTTTAGGTTTCTAAGGTGGGTATGTTAAATTGGTCCCCCTGTTTAGCTTTTTGAGGTGGGAGAAAATTTTTGTTTTGTCTTCCAGATGTAATTACTCAACAATAAACACAAAAAGATTAATTTAGTGAATTTGCTATATGGGGAACAAGATATTACCATAAGTATCATGGTAAGACCTGGACTCGGGTTCACTTTTTAGTTTTAGGGTCCTTAGAGGCCAAAAACACCATCAGTTCAAATTGATAAATTATTAATGTATCCGTTAGCAGGCTAACCCAAAAATGATCCAATTTTGATGGAACTTGGTATAAATGTCCAAATCTGTGTTTATTCAAACAGAGTTTGTGATCTAGCTTGATTGGGAAAGAGATTTCACTGAGTAAAAATTGGACTTTTAGCATTTTCTACCCTCAAACCATAACATATGGCAATTTCTTTCCATAGGGCTGAAAAAACAAATAATGACAACTACCGTATTGGAATCATTGTAACCTAACGTTTAATGTGAAACTTTAGTAATAAATTGTGTAACATTTCCCTGGATTTACCAGTAAAAATTGACATTTCACACCAAAATCTCAAAGCAATTTAAAAATTAATGTCAAGCAATTACTGCTTGCAATTAACAGCTGAAGCTCAAGAAAAGTCGCCACTAATCAGTAGTTGCCAGTTGATAAGAGGTCAACTGGCAACTTTATCAAGCTTATTACAACTAATGGTTCAGTTAGAGATTGTAGGTATCAGGATATCTCAAAACAGCTGATAAACTTTGAGTCAATTCAGATAAAACTGTTGCAAAGTTGAGCAAAATGTGCAACATGTCAATGAGAACTTTATGATGAATTTGGTTTCAGTAACTTTAACTTTAAAATATTTTTTAAATAATTTTTGTTCCATTGTTAACTTATCTCTGATAGGCTATATAGTACAGCGAAACCTCACTATCTCGACAATTTGTTGACCCAGAGGTGGTTGAGTTTGGGAGTTGTCAAGTTATCCAGAACGTTGAAATGTTTAGTAAGTTTAATTTCTCTAAGCTGCTCTTGTGTTACAACTAAGGAAAAATGGCTTGTGGTGTACGTTCTGCATCATGTAGCTCCTAAACGTGTAAGTTTAGGGCGAAAATGTGAATAGTAAATAAGTCTCAAAATAGCATCTACATTTTAAAAAGTCATACAATACACAGTTGTCCTATTTTCAAATTTGCTGCCATTTAGGAAAATGTTGGCCATATTTGAAACAATAGAATACTATTTTTGATATATTTCATGGTTTTTCAAAGTAGACGCAATTTTAAAACTTATTTACTCTTTACATTTTACAAAAGCTCAAATCAAAATTTGCTAAAAATCAGGAAATATAATCTACAAACATGTTGAGCTCTTGTTTTGGTTCAATCATCTCACAACAGTAATGGAAAGTTATTATGCCTGTGTCAAGCGCAGAAACTCCAAACAACTTAGATTCAATTTATCTTCATCAACAGCCTCTCACTTATCAGCTTTATAAATCTCTGTTTACCACTTGAAGAGGCTATAGGTCTCTGATCGCTTGTTATGACTGAGACTGAACAATTTTGATTAAAGAGTACAGTCTGAAATGATTTTTTCAAGTATTTAAAAAAGTGAAAAATTCCACATTAAAAAAAAATTACCATTATCATGAATGACTTCTTGTAACGGTCAGGCAATAATGTTTCAAGGCCAATCAGTCCAGGAGCTGAGGGGGTTTGAGCATGCATGAAAGTAGTACCCAATGTTATTGCTGATTATTGTAATATGGACTGTGGTGATCAAAATTAAATCATAAATCATAAATCTTTATTGGTCATTAAATAACAGATGTTACAATGGACCTCGTTGACAAAAAAAGGTGCCAAAAACGGCCATGATGTCATAAGGTGGGGGGGAGGGGGCAAACATGGCAGGGGGCGCTGTGAGTTAAAACTCTGATATTTCAAAAACGGTAAAAGATAGAACATCGGTTAAAACGTCATTGTAATTCTAAAAATATGGACTACAATAATGGTTATTAGGTCCGACGTCATATCTCTAATAATAAACAAGTAATTGTATAAAAAAATGTAAAAAAGGACTAGCCCTATTCAAGTAGTTTTTTTTTTTTTTTAAGTAGAACAAATTTGTGAGTTTCGCAAAGAAGTAATATCAAATATCTTTGCTGATAGTTGTAATACGGACTGTAGTGATAAAAAATACACATGTCACCTCCTTTTCAGGTGGTCGAGATCTTGGGGGGAGGGGAACAAAGATGGCAGAACTTGCTGTTCATTGAAACGACTCTATCTCGAGAACGGTACGAGATGGGACATGGGTCAAAACGTTGTTTTAATCAAAAAAATATGGCCAATAGAAAAAGTGTTTAGGTACAAAGTTGTATCTTAAGTAATAAAAAAGTTATAACAAAAATATGTTTCGCAAAATCTACATTATACAGCTATTTTTTTTTTTCAAAATTCATAGGAACTGTTGATTAAGAAAGCTGACCACAAAAGACTGAACTACTCTTTAATAACCCATCCTTTCAAACAAAGGATTTTTGGAGGCATGGTAAGCTATGATATAGATGAATTAATTTTACATTATTTTATTTTTGTAATAGCAAGCATTGTTTTCAAAATTATTTACTGCTAAACAAAACGAATAAATACATATTGTGAGCCTAACCTTATATTTGTTTTGTCAAGAGTAGGATTTGGATATTCAATAGTATTTAGTAGGCCTAAGCTAGACATGGACAAATAATTATGGCTTGTAGAATTAAATGTTCTTTTTGGGGGAAACATGATGGAATAGCATATTACTTCAATTAATGACATTGTGTGATAAGTTAAAGAACAATTTGTTGTGTAGAATTATTTATATTGAAATTAATTTGTATTATTATTGTATTTTTGTATTGTTATTATCTATAACCTAGACCCTCACAGTTGTCTTAACACTTTTTCAACTACTAAAATGTGACTACTAAATTATTCCTAATGGATTTCAAACGTTAAAGGTTAAAATATCTGTTAGGATGGGTAGGCAAATATCTTATCGATCAGAAAGAGTTATTTAACTTAGACCATGATTTTTCCTTCCTAAACCAACTTTGGGCCATTTCTATTGTATGACAACTACCATAATTTGAAGCAATACTTACACAACAAGATTATGTCTCGGTACTAGCATAACCTAAACTGAACAAACCTAATCTAACCTAACTTAACTAGGAATATAAGGTAAAAGGTAAATAAAAGGATTTGTAGATTTATATCACGTTAGAAACTAAAAACCCTAGTGGTAAAAAATTTAAAAAAAGTGAAAATCAAAGTGAAAACACTATGATGAAGTAGAAATGGCGAAGATGATGAATTAATTCATTACTATATTTGTTGAATTTATTTGTCACGACGACGCGTGACGTCACCACGCCTATTCCATGTGAGCGCTGCACGTCTGACTCGCGACCTGAATACTGTCCAAGTTGTGCAACATGTCACTGACCCTATACACTCACACTGAGATAAGTCCCTTGTCTCGTTGACATTATCATGGGGTGGACAAACCAGGCAGGATGCTGACTGTATTCAAAGTAATGGAGTTATGCACCTCTGACTGTGAAAGGAAATGTATTGAATTTTTAACCTAACCTAACCTAACCTAACCTAACCTAACCTAACCTAACCTAACCTAACCCACTGCGACAAGCGCATAACTGCCAAGCGTAGACAACCCTGACAATCGCTCTCCCTCCCTCCGTCACACTCTTTCTCCCACCACCACCGTTGGCAAATCTCCGCACCAAGAGGTGGCCGAAGGCATCCCCCCATCTACCTGACACCCGTTGGCAAAACTCCGGTTCCCGGCGACGATCTGGTCTTTTAGCCTTTTATTTATTTTACAGTTTAAGTTAGTGGAATAAATATTATCTTTCTGATAAGAGCAAAGTTTTGATAAATAATTATATCATAAACCCCCGATATAACACTTAACTATTTATTTTGCTTGTTCATGCATGTATTATTTTGTAATGAGTATTTATTCTGTTGTTATACCTATTGATATGATGTTTCTTGTAATGTTAGTCTGCAACTATTTATTTTGCTTATTCATGCATGTATTATTTTGTAATGAGTATTTATTCTGTTGTTATAGGCCTAACTATTGATATGATGTTTCTTGTAATGTTAGTCTGCAACTATTTATTTTGCTTATTCATGCATGTATTATTTTGTAATGAGTATTTATTCTGTTGTTATAGGCCTAACTATTGATATGATATTTCTTGTAATGTTAGTCTGCAACTATTTATTTTGCTTATTCATGCATGTATTATTTTGTAATGAGTATTTATTCTGTTGTTATAGGCCTAACTATTGATATGATGTTTCTTGTAATGTTAGTCTGCAACTATTTATTTTGCTTATTCATGAATGTATTATTTTGTAATAAGTCAATCAATGCAATATGAAACCTTTCTTGTCTTTTTGTATGTTATATTGTACCATGTATTTGCAATTCTTGTAATTATTTTTGTGTAAACCATCTTGCTTTTATGCGTATTGTATAATGGCATTTGCCGTAGATATAAATAAATAACACATCCTAAACCAAAACCAATACTGCATTTCATATACACTGAGAGCTAAAGAGAGTTGACGTTTGTGCAATACGATTACTTATCTGATAAGTTTCTCATCTTGGTAAGATTATCTTATCACACTTGACGATAAACCTAACCCAACACTCGTAGTATTTGCAAGCAGATAACGCTGGATACAT